AATCGAACCCAGGTCTTCAGCATGAAGAGCGGACGGTTTAACCACTAGCCTACCTCACCGCCCCGAAGAAGTGAAGGTGAAGTGAAACAGGGCCTAACACATTGTTCATGATTGTTACTTTTATATAGCAAGTGTGTACATATGTCTGCTTGCACTAGCCTGGACTGATGCTGTTTTTATTCCTGCTAGCCACTGAGATATCATGCCACTTTTTATAATGGATACATCACTCATTGTATACTGACGCCAAGTAAACCACTCCATGTTTTATACCCTAGCCAAATGCTAGGCAAGGTAACAACCAACCACCATCTTTTTACATCTTTTGGTATGATGGTGATGATGATGTGGATCCAGCCTCTGTCCTTTAACATTTGTGTCAAATGTGCTATGGTGAATTTGTTGTTGTTTAACACCAAACTCGGCAATATTCTAGCTGTTATATTAAGTGGTCTGTAAATAATGTCTGGAAATGACAATCCAGTGTTTGACATCACTGACATCAATTGATTTACACAACTATGATACAATGAGATGACCTCCCAATCTTGATGGTTGTCTCTTACACTGACTGAGTTTAGTTTTATGCCGCTTTTAGCAATATTTCAGCAACATCACGGCAGGGGACACCAGAAATGGGCTTCACACATTGTATCCATGTGGGGATTTGAACCTGGGTCTTCAGCGTGACGATGTCTCTTACAACCAACATGGGTTGTTGAATATCAATTCAAACCCAGATCTTCATGACTAGCCAAGATCAAAGAAATGATTCCTGTGTTCAAGCTGCCCAATGCAACAGCTCAGGTAAGGTAATCAAATCAAATCTTCTGGCTGGCTGAGAGTTGCTTGCATGTGCAACATCATTCATTGATTTGAAAAGGCAATGGAGGATTAATTAATCATGAGTGCAAATAAGACAATAATTATCATGGTCCTACATGTCAAGTGATGGAAAGACAAAGATTATAGGTGATAGGTTACACTGCCCAGAATCACATCCGCAGGAAAACCTCAGCAGGAAAACCTGCTAGGAATGAACAACTGGGCTTCATCAAACTTCTTTCCACATGAAACGGAAACAAGGATCAGTCATTCCTGGAGCCAATCAACCAATCACAGAGCAGTTCTTCTCTCAAGAAAATGGTTATCACTTATCTGCTATTCGTGTCTTATAAATAGGAAAGCAAGATGATACCTCAACTGATTCCAGTAAAATCAACCCTGAATGTCTTTGAAATATAAATTGCTCTATCAAACAATATTTTATAGCTCCTCATTATTAGCATGAAGATGCCTTGCTGTTCATTTAGACATGCTGAGATGGCACAGGTGGCTGTAATTCATTGTGTAGGCCCATTAGGCTTGACGGAAATTGCCCTGTTAAGTGTTTTGTTTGTGTGGATACCATACTTAATTAGTGTTCAAAGCAGTATTTAACTCACTCACTTACTGACATGTGTCGCATCTAATACTATATGGCTGTATGACATCTAATACTATATCACTTCCTCATTATTCAGAAGCTGTAATATGTCTACAATTGCCTTACAACCCACTCCCAAACTAACTGATTATTCAGATGTACATGTATTGTACCAACCACAATATGGTTAAAACTTGGCTTGAAACCAGCTCACTCACTCAGTCAATATTCAGAAATATTTTCCCAACTACAAATTTGAGTAAAACCACCCACTCACTCATTCAGAAGGGTTCTGACAAATTACAAAATGGATAAAATTGGCCTCAAAGCCAAATCACCTAGAAGTGAGTGAGTGAGTTTAGTTTTACGCTGCACTCAGCAATATTCCAACTACATGGCAGCAATCTGTAAATAATCAAGTCTGGACCAAACAATCCAGTGATCAACAGCATGAGCATCAATCTGGGCAATTGGGGTACGATGACATGTGTCAACCAAGTCAGCGAGCTTGACCATCCGATCCCGTTAGTCGCCTCTTACAACAAGCATGGGTTCCTGAAGATCAATATTCTAACCCGGACCTTCACGGGTCTCACCTAGAAGTATTGCACAAACTTCCTTATGGCTAAATACTGCTTAATCCCATCTCACTAAATTATTCAGGAGGACTGTACTAAATACAATATGACAATAAATTCAGGTTGACCTTCAGAATATTCTACTGTCATCCATCTTGTTCATGTTCATTCCGATCAGCAACGATATATAATTCCAACTCTCAATAATCATCCTCATTCATAATAGCTCCCTCGTGTGTGCACAGAATATGAAATATTATCTCACTAGCATCCTGGAGCATTTAATCTGCAGCCACTAATGTTTCCTCTCATATTCACACTGTAAACCCCATATTGTTATTTCTGCTATTACCATGGTTACATGTTTTCTTTGGAAAATTGAATGTTTTGCTATCAAGCCTGGAGCAATAAGTCGTCACAATGATTCATCCAACTCACGGCCAACAACAGGAAATGTGTGCATGCCTATCAAAGTTTGTAAAAATTGTTTTCCTCTACGTAGATAAGTGACAAGATACCTGTTTGGCTTTTTATCAATTGCCCGAAAAACATCAACGTTTGGGTAACCTACTTAAGTGAAGGTTTGATGCTAACAATGTTTAAATATTCTCAAACACTGTATAGGCAATTAGAGATGGGTTTTTAGTTTGAAAGCATGTATGATACCTTGGCAGGGGAAGCAGTGATACAGCTTTTGAATGGGTTTGCATACAACATGCAACAAGCAAGTGATATTCATGAAATTAATGAGTTATACTCTTTATGTATTGAGTTAGTGAGTGAGTGACAGACAGGCCTTTATTGGCCAAATTACCATTTATCAAAATCAATGGCATGTAACTTTGAGTGAGTGAGTGAGTGAGTTTGGTTTTACGCTGCTTTTAGCAATATTCCAGCAATATCACGGCGGGGACACCAGAAATGGGCTTAACACATTGTACCCATGTGGGGAATCGAACCCGGGTCTTCGGCATGACGAGCGAACGCCTTAACCACTAGGCTACCCTACCGCCCCCATGTAACTTTGAAGGCAAAAATATCAGTTATGACTGTTCGGTGGTAGAACAATCTGTAGGGTTTAAGTTTATCGTACACAAGATAACCATACAAACATGGTCCTACCACAGTGAATACAAACTTCAGAACATTGAGTCTTGAGAAGCATTGGTATCACCGTCACAAACTAAAACCAGGTTAAAACTGGGACTGGAATCCCTCCACACAGGATTGTGGTACACATTTTGGACACAGCATGTCACCATGAATTACTGTCCTCTAATAAACACAAACAATATCCAAAAATAGGTCTTCCACTGAGACTGTCTTAGAATCAAAGTGAACTGTGCTCATAGATGCAATCAGCTCATTGCCTCAGATTCAGTGCTCAATCAGTTTCTGGGCAGAAGTCACAGAAGCAAAAGGGTTTCAGATGAGGGTGATAGATGATGCATTATGGCTTAGTTCAAAGGGTATTCATGTCAGACGAGGTGAAGCTTTATGTCACATAAATAACTCCCAAAATTTACAAGAAATCTGAGCTATATTCCTCATATAATTAAGGCCTGCTCGGACACTGGACTGAATTTCCCTTTGTCAAAACAACCTCAAAGTGTCATCCAAGGACAATATTTTTGAAGAAATACCCAATGCGTGGTTGAGAAACTCAAAAGAGCTTTGAAGTTTCATTCAACAAAGAGCAGCCACCATGCATCTTTCATAACTTCCCTGCCCAAACTAATCAAATCAATATTTTATTGAATGAAACATGTTTGGCATTCTGCAGTGAAGAAAATTCAATTGCTGTGGGATTGTTTCTTTGTTCAAATGAAAATTAATGAAAGCCTTGAGGGGTAGAGTAGGTACTGACAGTGTTTCGACATAGTGTTTGAGGGAAGGGTTGACAGTAAGGGGTACAGTGAGTACTGATAGCTTTTCTTCATAGGATCAAGGTTCTCAGGGGGTTTTAACAGCTTTTCTTCATACAGTTTGAAAGGAGTGAGTGAGTTTAGCTTTACGCCGCACTCAGCAATATTCCAGATATATGGCGTCGGTCTGTATATAATCGAGTCTGGAACAGACAATCCAGTGATAAACAACATGAGCATCAATCTGCGCAATTGGGAACCAATGACATGTGTCAACTAAGTCAGCGAGCCTGACCACCCAATCCCGTTAGTCGCCTCTTACGACAAGCATGGGTTACTGAAAGATCAATATTCTAACCGGACCTTCACGGTTAAGTTTGAAAGGTGAGGGGTAGAGTGGTATTAACCACTTTTTCTTGTTGTGTTTGGAGCTGGATGATCTCAAGGAGAAGAAAAGGTACTGACAGTTTTTCTTCATTGTGTTTGGAGGGGAAGAGGTGATGTCGAGGGGTAGAGTGGGTATCAAAAACTTTTCTTCATTGTGTTTGGGTGAGTGAGGAAGTTCAGTTTTACGCCACACTCAGCAATATTCCAGCTATATGCGGGAGTCCGAAAATAATCAAATCTGGACCAGACAATCCAGTGATCAACGGCAAGTACATCAGTCTACGCAATTGGGATATGATGACGTGTCAATTAAGTCAGTGAGCCTGACCACCCAATCCTGTTAGTCGCTGACCTTAAATATAATGTCACCACTGACAGTAAAGACTTCTTATGTACAAGGACAAAAACAAGTCAAAGTTTTCATGTACAGATCAAACTAAAAAATATAACAAAAATGCCTGGCCTAAGACAAATGCCCTGAGCTCATCCACCAACAAAACTTTGTTTTGATCCCAATTTCAAATACACAAAGCTAAAACAAAAGCCATCCAACATACTCTTGGCAGCAAAACACTTTCTGTCCTAACCTTGTGAAAACAGACTTGGATATGTTGAAGTTTTTTTTGATGGCAGATGGTGAAATGATACACTTGCTCATAGAGGATAGAGGCAAATAGGGTAGGACAGGTACCCACTTGAAGGTTTGGACCTGCTGAGGAAGTTTTAAAATAAAATGATACTTACACAGAAATGTGAGATATGACGCACTATGGACGATAAACTTGATAAAGGGCTTGCGTATGAGTTCTCCGATGGAACACTTAGGAGCTATAAGATAAATCAGGGACATCACAGGGAACATTATGCCAATGGTTTGCGTGATCATCAGCTTGGATACGATATTCCGCCTGCGGAACCCGGGGTAACCCCTCATACCATAGTGAGGCTAGAAGCTGTTGGCAGTTCGGATGTGACACAAACTGAAATGGAAAACAAATCTCAAAAGCAAACTATTCCATCATGACACAAGCTGTTCATCTGCTTATTCAACAAAGTAGCCCTAGCACTAAGATACTGACATATAACATTGGCAGCTCTAAGAACCTGTCAATTTGATATTCCACTTGGAAGGGGAGTGGTTTATTTTTATTGGTTTGTTGTTTAATGCCACACACAACAATATTCCAGTTAAATGGCAGTGGTTTGTTAATAATCCAGACTGGACAAAACAATCCAGTGATCAACATCATGAGCATCAATCTATGTATTTGGGATATGATGAAATACATCAACCAAGTCAGCAAGACAAGCATAGGTTGTTGAAGACCAATTCTAACCCAGATTTTCACAGATGGGAGCGATTTGGATTCAATTTAAAAAATCTAGAAAGAATAACTTTTCCCTGAAAATATTTTTAAAATAATTTTCCATTGGATATCCTAAAAAAATGTGTTTGGGGTAAAAGAAAACTCAATTCTGCTTTCAAAAAATATATTGCCAGTGAAAAGGAAACAATATAATGTCTGCAAATATAATGCTCTTGGACAAACAAAAACTTTCTAAAGGATGGCTCTGTACTGTTTCTTACCCTTTTCTGTTTGTATTTAATGGCCAGTTTCAACCTGCTCAGTTTGGTTTTCTCTGCTCCCTGTTCATCTGTCGCAGCACTCGATGTGTCGTGGTTGAGGATGATCTGCAGCTCACGTGATCCTCGCGTCTGCTCCAGGAGGTCCACAGCAAAGTCCTGACACCTGGTGGCTAGCTTCTCATAGTCCACCTTAAACTCATTCTCCATCTTGCTAAGGCGCTTCAACTCTCTGCTCAGTTCAAAGGAAGTCAGAATGGGATCCTTGCTTGAGAGAGCAATCAGTGAAGGACTCACTAACGCCTTGTAGGCGTTAATCCGAGAACGACTGTGACGCAAACTGTCTTCTTCACTTTCCGTTAAACAATCCTTGCAACTACACCGAACATCATGAGGTTTGGGAATGCGAAATCCTCTATCCAGGAGGATTTTGATAATTTCATAATTGTCCCGATGCCCTGCCAGAATGATCGGTGTGATGTCAGGACTGAATGAGCTGGAGGGATATAACTGATGTAAGGCCTGAAACAGAGAATGTTTAACATCAAAAGTTGAACTGGGCTCTGGAAAATGGTGGTTGTTGTTGTTGTTGCTGCTGTTGTTGTTAAAATACTCAGTAATATACAACATTGATCTGTGAATAATTGAGTTTGAATCAGACAATATATAGTCTGCTTGCAGTGAAAATGTACCGATGAATTTTACTTTGAACAAAAAAGTACCGGTAAGTCAAATAAAGTGAAATTAAGATTGCAAATCCTCATAAATTTACCTTGCCAATTGAACATTTAAAACTCAGAATTTTATTCAACATGGTGATGAGCGTTAACGTTGACCAACCCTACTTGTTCTCAGTGTTTCATTTAATGTGCATACCCTCTTGTAATACAAACCAATAATAGTGATTTGAAACTATGACCATTTGTTAAACAACTTTTATCCTAAGTTGAATAAAATTCTCAGACTTAAATGTTCATATGGCAAGGTAAAATTATGAGGATTCGCTTTGATTTACCTTTTGATTTAAAGTGAAATTCATCAGTACATTTTCACTGCACACAGACTATAGTGATTGACATCATGAGCATCGATCTATGCATTTGGGCTAAGAAGCATCAACTAATCAGGGGCCGGGACCACCCGGCACCATTAGTCACCTCTTACAAGCATGGGAACTGAAAACCAATTTTACCCACATCTTCCTGCCCATCTAAAAAATATTTATGTTGATAAGTCAGGAGTTTTTCATATCTGTATCATGTAAAATCACAATCAAGTCAACAGTCATGTTAAAATAAATATTTAAATCACCCCTGACAGGTTAAACAAGTCATTTAGTTGTTTATCTAGTAGTATTTCCTCATGTTGAAGATCAAGGTCATATAATGCAGCCTGGCAACACAAACACATGTCATGAAGCCTTATAGACAATCTCATCCCTCAAATATCAGCCAGACCAAATCAACCCGAGAATAACCAGCACTCTCTCAATGACAAGCAACATGAAAATGACATCCTGTCAAAATCTATTATCGACAAGGTGACCAAAGTACTTTGTGTAATCCAATGACAGGTCTAATCAACCATTGGCATTAAAGATGAATAAGCACTGGCATGCCATTACAAGGACAAATATGTCACTACAAGATACCTATAATCTGAAAGACAGACATTCCTCATTCACCCAACCCCTCATATATAAGGAAAAAATGATGCTCAGTTTCATAATATGTGAAATCTGGAATGATATTTTCGCTTGGTATCAGTGCAGACATTAATGCCTTGTGCTATTTTCTGATTCACAAGAGAGTTTGAGTGAGTGAGTTTACTTGTATGTTGCACACACCAATATTCAACCTATGTGGCTGTGGTCTGTAAATAAAAGAGTCTGGACCAGATAATCCAGTGATTGACATCATGAACATTGATCTATGCAATTGGGATACAATGATATGTGTCAACCAAGGCAGCAAGCCTTACCACCCAAACCCATTAGTTACCTCTTATGACAGGCATTTGTTGCTGAAGATCAATTTTAATCTGGATTTTTGTGGGTCGAGTGAAATATGTACTTATGCATATGCATGAGCAAGTGAGAGCTTGAGGGAGAAAAAGAGACAATTCAAAAGAGCAAGTCCACTCAGATACCACCCACAATCAAACATGAAACTCCACACAGACAACTGACTTCTTCAAATATGCCTTGTTTTCCCCCTGATGCTGGGTGCCAGGGCAACAACAAGTACCATCTATTAATGTTTTTTGGTATATGATGACTGGAATTAAAACCATCAACCTTCCATTTTCCAGACATTCCACTTGACCACAATGGCAGCCACAATGCTTGAGGGACAGAACTCAGGGACCGCCTCCGTGGTGTAGTGGTTAGAGCATCCGCCCGGAGAGCGGAAGGTCGTGGGTTCGATCCCCGGCCATGTCATACAAAAAGACGTTAAAATATGGTACTTGTTGGTCCCTGCATGGCGCTCGGCATTCATGGGTACAACAAGTACTGGTCGGCTCGGAGTCAGTATAATGTGTCTGAGTGGGGTATTCATGCTTCACTGCGGCATGGTATCTCAGTGGGCTAGCACTATAAAACCAGCTTTAGTTGGGGCTAGTACAAGCAGCCGCACATACACATACACATGTTTGCACATAGTCATATGAGCAAAATATTCTCAAGCACGATGTTAAACCCAACTTCACCTCACCCCACCTCACAGAACTCAGTCTTGAGGTAAATTGTTCCCCAAGTGAGCTCCATGATGACTCATATCTGTCATTCAAACTGAAAGGTACTATTATCATCCATGTAAAGGTCTTCCCATGTTAACAGTAATCCGTGTAAATTAATTTCTCTGGTCTGTCTGCTTCCAGCTACACAATAGCCAGCAACACATTTTGGTACATCAATCAGCCCTATACCTTCCTCCAAGACACATCTACAGAGACATTTCAATGTTATTAACTCCAAGGAGACATCTAGCAGTCAAGTTTAGATGTAATATGATTGCCGACATTAACAGACTCCAATACACTTGATGGGTCCAACAATAGAAGAAATGACTACATTTCAATGGAATATACATTCGAACACTTGCGTCCATGTATTTCAACATCCTCTTCATTCCAATTTCATTAACAAAAGTGGAGGCATATAAGAAAAGTAAATCTGACAATGGCATCATCCAGGTCATCTTGCCCAATTTTACAGTTAGGTTGTGAGAGTCTCTTAAAAGATTGAGTAGACTACTTACACTGTCTACTTCTGTCTACTCAATTATTTTAGTTAGGTTTACTGATCAGTTAATGATTCTATTAAGGCAAATGGTTTTTGTGGTCGCTAGTTAAAATTTTATCATTACACATCAAGACCAAAAGCTGAGATGTGGTAGACACAAAGGTGAGAATTTTGCCAACCATCATGTTCTGTTGTAATTGTCTGTAAGGTTCTTGAAGGTTCCAGGTTTGTGAAAGGTGGCTTGTTGAGTTTGGAGTAAAAAGGTCAGGTGAAATAGATTTATGGCCACTTTAAAGATTAATGTACTTTGATAGTGACTTGCATGAATGCATGCCTGTCTGTATCTGTGTGAACTTGTCCAAGTCTGGATTGGTGCTAGCCTCATAATAATAATGATAATAATGTGTCCATTTATATAGCGCCAAACTCCACACTAGGTATGCTCATGACGGTAACAATCAATAGCACAGCACATTATTACCCCAGATAACCCAAGCTGCCTGTTAGGCGCTAGAAGGTTATAGTCACATGACTTTTTCCACCGGGTACCCATTTTCCTGCTGGGTGAACAGAGGCGATTTTGAACAAAATCACTTGCCTAAGGTGAGACCACATGTATCACATGTGCTTCATTGTGGGGCAGGACTTAAGTCCTAGAAACTCTCAGGAGTCAAACTGTCAAACACGGTCAACCATCCAAGGACTCTCCAAGCTCGACGTTGCTTAACTTCAACTGATTTGTGACCTGAGCTTTGTGCACAAGACCACAAAAGGACTTTCATAGTGCTAGTCCACTGAGATACCATGCTTCAGTTTAACATAGATACACCACACAAACACAATATACTGATTATATTGGCTAAATGCCGAGATGCAGGCATGGTAACAACAAGTTCCATCTTTTGATGTCTTCTGATGTAATCAGATGATCAAACCACACAACCTTTGCTCTTTGGACAGGCTCTCTAACCACAGGACCACAGACCTGGTCTAGAATGAATAGAAACTTCAACAAAAACACCCAAACAATAAGTATGAAAGTGTAAGTTTATAAGAACAATATGGCATTCACAATATATATCACTTCCAACATAACTGCACTTTATTGCTCTGGCCGAATCCTTTTTGGCACTGTATGAAGATCTAATATATCTGCACTTGATTTTTTTCAGATAATGAATAACTCAATATATTTGTTCTTATGAGAACTTGCAACATAATGAAGTTCTACTGTTTGACGTTCCTTGCCTGGAGAAGCCATTAATCAAATCTACACTCTTCCAGGGTTGGTCACATGGCATGAATATTCAAACATCTTATTCCACCTCAAATCCTATGGAGAAAGGACATTTGAGATAAAATCCATTTATAAAAAAATCTGACACAGTTGTATAGCTTTATAATGTGATCATGTCAGCAATCATCAAATTCATATTGTTCCTGCTTTTGAAATCTTCAGTTGCATGAAACAGCTTTGCTGCAAGTGTAGTTCCACTGGAACAATAACTGCAACACATCTTGTCTATGTGAGATGAAATTGGGTTTTACGTCGTGCTTGAGAATATTTCGCTCATATGACGATCGTCTATGTGAGTGAGTTGTGTTTTACTCTGCTTAATTGTAGCAATATTCCAGCAATATCACGGCAGGAGGCACCAGAAATGGGCTTCACACATTGTACCCATGTCGGGAATCGAACCCGAGTCTTCGGCGTGACAAGCAAATGCTTTAACGACTGGGCTACCTCACCGCCCCTTGTCTATGTGAAGCGTGAAGTATGTGAGTGAAGTGTTTTAAATTACAAACAATAAGAAAAACAACACAAAAAAGTATTCAATTAAACTATGATGATTTATTAATTCTTTCAAAATTCTGACCATATTGGATTTTTTCAAAAGTTGAAAAGTTAAAACTACAAATCAAATCCCAAGACAAAGTAAATATGGTAAGATACACAAAATGTTGTCCCTCCTTCACATAAACTTTTTAAGAAACTTCATATACCCGAAATATTTGCAAATGTCATGTGGGCATTGACACTCTATCAAGTTTCCTAACTTGGAACTCAACCACTGACCTTAATCATGATACAATCGCAAAAAAATGTCACAAAGCCACAAAAAGTCACCAATCCAAAAGGGCCCGAAGATTGAAACCGTTACTGATCTAACTTTATCTCCCGATGACGTGGGCAGTGTCTAATTTGGGGACAGTATTTCTTATCATGGCCCTCGGTCTCCATCTAAGCAAGCTATCCCTGGCATTTATATACACAGGC